GAGTCGTCGATCGATCGTTCGATGGATCTTTCGATCGTTCGGCCGTTCGGTCGAGGCTAGGTGTTCTATGTGTGTGTGTGTGTCGCAGGCCCAGAGGTTGACACCATCACCAAGATCGGCGGTGTGCCTCCACCCAGGGAAGACGATCCCGATCTCGGTGATGCTGGTGATATTCTGGCTTCCAAGGTGACCGAACTGTTACCGCCAACACCGAAATTTAGGATCATCTTCCCCGTGTGGAGGCAAGCCCCTGTGCTGGTGTTGGTGCCAACTTCCAGGCCTCCAATTTGTGTGCGTATGATTTTTGTTTCATGGCCGGCAGCTGGCGCTGCTTGCATCTTGCAAGCGGCTCGGGGTCTCGGCCGCTCCAGACGCGCGTGCGCGCCCCCGCTTCTCTGACCTCTCTCCGCGCTGTCGCTGCGCGCGGGGCCGCGACGTTAAACAAGTGTGTACGTTTGGCTTTGTGTTTGTTTGTCTGTTTGCTCTGCGGGCCCCCCGAGGGACGTCCGTGGAAGTCCTGGGACTCGCAGGGCTCTCCGGTGGCGGCTGACGTGGTCGTGGTCGTTGTGGCCCGTTGTTGGCGTCGTGGTCGTCCTCGCAGCCGCTGACGCGTCCGTCGTCGACGTCGTTGTCGTCGTAGTCGGGTTCGTGGTGGTGGTGGTCGTCGTCATCGTCGTCGTGGTGGTTGTCGTCCACCGTCTTCGACGGCATCGTCGCCTTCGTTGTCGTTCGTTCTGCCTGGGGGCACCCGTGGAAGAACTCGCTGGTGTCGTCGCTATCGCTGCCACCGTCGTGGTCATGGTCGCGGTCGTTTTCGTCTTAGCCATTTGGTTTCGCCGCCGCCGTCGTCGCTTTCGTCGTCGTTGATTCCGCTGGGGGTGAACGTGGAGAGACTCGTCGTCGTTGTGGCCGTCGCAGTCTGTGTCGCCACCGCCGTCGTCGCGGGTCGCCGACGTCGGAAGGAAAGACTCGTCTTCCCCCCTTGCCCTCAACCTCCCTCCCTCCTCCTCCCCTTTCTCCTCTTTCCCCGCTCGTGTCCTTCCTCTGTATCCTGCCTCTTCTCTCCTGCCCCTACTCTTTCCCCACTCAGTGCTTGCACGTAAGGGGTTCTGACTTGCGTTTCGTACGCCATTGACTGGCCGCCGAGCATTTTCCACGTTGCCGCCCCGTGATGCCTCTCGTAGCTCGTGGGCGCCACGTGTGCTGGGTGGGTCCGCCGAGGGTGTGCCGCGTTGCCGCCCGTGTCGCCTCTTAGGATCTTGTGGGCGCCCCGTGCGCTGGGTGGGTCCGCCAAGGTTGCGCCGCGTTGCCGCTTGTGCTGCCTCGGCCGGCGCTTGTGGGCGCCCCATGCGCTGGGTGGTTCCGCCGGGGTCGCGCCACGTTGCCGCCTTGTGGGCGTTCGTGGGCGCCCCGTGCGCTGAGCTTGCACCAGGTAGCTTGCACCACGTAGTTCACGCGACATAGCCAACACCACATATTGTTGAAGATGATCACTGCTATCTGCCCCTGCTCCCTCTCCCCCGCCGGTTTTTCGGTACAACAGAGGTTGGAGGGAGGGCTCAGCCTTTTGACCGGCCCCAGCGTGGGGCCTGAGCACGCGTGGTGTAAAACATCATCACATCGACATTGGCAGCGGAGCTACCGCCGAGCGGGTTCGATCCACGGCGCGGCGTGCCGTCGCGGAGGGTCGCGACGGAAAGAGCCTCGGTGAGGCTGCCCACGGAGTGGGATGAGCGGTGCGCCCGCCGAGCGGGGCATGGACGCCTGGGCGGCGGCTGCCCGGGCGCTGGCGCAGCGTGCCGGAGCAGAAGACAGCCCTCGGGGCGGTGCCCCCGAGGAGGACGAAGGCTTCCGGTCGGCCGACGATGGAGTATGGGCAGAGCGCGGCGCGAAGGGGCCGCGGAGAGCGACGGAGGACCCTCTCGCGGTGCGAGAGATCCCCGCAGCGAGCACGTGGGGCGGTGACAGCGCGAGGGGGCCATGGAGCGGATGGACCGCGCGCGGACACCCCTGGAGCGAGTGGGGCGGCCACTGGTCGGAGGAGTGGGGCCGCTGGACCCCACCACGACCAGGGCCTGGTGCGGCGACCATCTGGCGTGTGTGGGCACAGGAGACCGAGTTCGACCAGAGCTGGGCCCGGGGGGGTTGCGAATGGTCGGATACCTGGAGCTGGGACGGCTGGGGCGTCTGTCGCCCGGAGGCGCCGTCGGAGACGGCAAAGGGCGTGAACGAGATCGGGGAGACGAAACATACGATCTTAAGTGGGATGGGAAGTCAGTGCCGCTTGGCACCTACGAGCGCCGAGGGAAGTTATTCGAATCGATTATCCCGATCCCGTCCCGAAGGCGCGGCGGTCGGCTGCTCTCGAGATTCAAAGGGGGCGCGGAAACCAAGACGGATAGTCTTGACCCCGAGGATCTCGCAGTGCCAGACGGCGTCCAGGTGCTTTTGCGTTCTACCTGCACAACAAGTACGACCAGCAAGACGCTGAAGGTCGGCACTTTCGTGGACGACTTCGTGGAAAAGCTCCCGCGCAACGTGGGCGAACAAGGCCTGGATTTCGAGACGCGTAACGAGACGAAGATACGCGAACCAGAGGAGGCAACGGACGAGCCCCTCAATGCACTTCAAGGCCCACTACTTCTTGAAGAATTGCTGCTCCTGCTGCTAGTTTGGGGTACTTCACTTCTGACACGTCCTTAATGATACAAAATTGCATGGCAAACGACCATGCGGCAGGATGCACCCGCACAACTTCAGAAGGTAATTCATGTCCAAGGCCCCGTCCCCAGCAGAAGGCAAGCGTACCTGTCACCGACAGGACGCCAGAACACCCTCACGTTTTTTTTTTTTTTTTTTTTTTTTTTTTTTTTTTTTTTTTTTTTTTTTTTTTTTTTTTTTTTTTTTTGTTTTTTTTTTTTTTACTGTTCCATTGGGGACTGGGCGCACGAGAGGCAAGCGCACCTATCACAGACAGTTGGCCAGAATACCCTCACGGGTCGCCCTCACGCGTCCTGACTTCAGGAGAGGCAAGCGCAGTCGTCGCCAACGACTGGCCAGAACACCCTCACGTGTCGCTCTCCTTCGGCCATTGGGTGCATGTAACTGACAGTGTGGCCCCCCTCTTCAGAAGGCAAGCGCAGTCGTCCGATGACGAAAGGCGAGTCCCAGAGGCCCCGAAGGACATTCTGAAAGAGTGGGCTGCGGATGTGGTCGCTGGCGCATCAGAAGAACGTACCCGCCAACTTCCACCGTATACATGATTTTTGACTAAATGAAGAGTGTCCCCCTCTTCGGAAGGCAAGCGCAGTCGTCCGAGGAGCGACTGGCCAGTCCTTGAGGCCCCGAAGGGCATTCCGAAAGAGTGGGCTACGGATGTGGTCGCTGGTGCATCAGAAGAAAGTAGCCACCAGCTTCCGCCATATTCCTGACCAATGAATCGACGATGGGCGCCAAACAGCTATGAGGAGGGGCACATGGCCAAGATGAAGCGGCTGTCGTTTTTACACATTGGTTTTGCCATCTTACACTTGGTGCACGCCATGTTCCCTTCGGCGAAATCGATGGAGTGACTCTTGGGCTTCTGACTCGCATCATGTACTCGTGCACGTTCGGCAAGTGCAGCAGGGGTGAGGCGATGCACCTTGTCTCTCTGATCCAATTTGAGAAGGCGGTGTAATTCTGTTCCCTCTCGCACTTGATACGCTTGATCTTCGGACCTTTGGACCGCATGATTGGCTCCAGGATGTGGTAGCCGTGCTCCGCTGCCGTCCTACTGTGTAGAAGTCTCTTTTCTTTAGCATGCAAGGCGGGGCTTCGCCATCCATGGAGTGCAACCGTCTCCTGTTGTGTCCATGTCGTCGCTGCAACCGCTGCCACGATAGGTGCTGCTTTCTTATGTCGTGTAACTTTTGATGAGACCGCTTCCATGGCCTGCCCCACCACCGTATCTTCCAAGTTCGGGGAGTCCAACTTCGGCGGTTGCCAAATCGGCTTCGGTATGGCGCCCCACGTTGGTAAAACTGTTCTCGAGCACGACGTCGCGGACATGGCTGTCGTGAAGATATCCTTCATCGTCTCATCGCGGGCAAGGAAAGCCGGTCTGCGCATGAGTCCACGTCCAGGACGCATGCCAAGTCGTGCCAATTATCGTGCAAGTTTGTTGCCTGGGCGTGGTGCTACCTGCGCCTCGCATATGATAGAAAACCTTGCTGCAGCCGTGCTGGAGTATCTTCCCATCGTCGGGGGTGCATGGGAGGGTCCCGTCGCGATGGTGAAATCAATCACCAATTCCATCCAAGTCGCAGTCTGCGGGCGCAGTTCCGCATCGTCATGACTCCATTTCAGACTATCAAAAAACACGCCATTGCGAGACACATCTGTTGTGAGTAACTCCATTCTTCGGCCTTGAGGCAGGTCGGTATCTTTGGAATGAACTTCCATGGGCTGCCTCTTGCGTCAGTAGCGTTTGGTGTGGGTGGGTCCCGCTCGTAGCCAGGGAAAATGGATCTGGGTGACCACTCAAGAGGGTTTGTCGTGAGATTCGGTCCATCTGGCCGGTGTGCTCGTGGAGGTTGGTGATGCCTGACCCCCTGCAGCTTGATGCAGAGGCTTGGGCTGCTTGCCATTCAGGCGCCTTCTCACCGTAGCTGTGCTGGGTGGTGTGTTCGACGTTCGTGCTCTCTGAGGGGTCGGGGTAGCATGCGGTCCAGTGCCTACTCGACCGCCGACTGCTGTCTCCTTCTCTTCTTGATCCATGCCATGGTGGGCCCAGGGGTCCTCCTCGTCCTGATCCTCGTGGAAGAGACCATCCTCCTCTCCTCCTCGATTTTCAGCTCGCAGAAAAGCCTGGGCTTGCTCGACTCTCCCATCCGGCGCTTCACGTCCCAGCGCCTCGAGTTCAGCAGCACGTGCGCACGAGATTTTGGCGGCAGTAATCTGCAGTGGGAAGTCCAGCTGTTGATCGCGAAGACTTTGGTGCAGGACAGCTGTTGGTAAGG